GTCACAGCTCACAGCAACCTCCAACTCCTGGAGTGATTCTCTTGCCTCAGCCTCCAGAGTAGCTGGGACTACAGGTGCCCGCCACAATGCCCGGCTATTTTTTTTGTTGCAGTTTGGACAGGACCAGGTTTGAACCCACCACCCTCTGTGTATGGGGTCAGCGCCCTACCCACTGAGCCACAGGCACCTCCCAGTTTGGTGATTTTCTATACTGATAATGCTTGATTTTTTTTTTCTTTCTCATCTGTGTAATCTGTTCTAGCAATGAGTTTTATACTTTTGTGTCTTTTCATGATAGTAGATACTGTTATTTCACTTCTAGATGTAGAACTCCTTTTAGTATTTCTTGTAGGGCTTGTCTCATGGTGAGAATTTCCTTGGCTTTTGCTTGTCTGAGAACAATTTTATTTCTCCGTTTTTTCTAAAGTATAGATTTTTTTCAAGTCCAGAATTCTTGGCTAGACATTTTTTTTTTTTTGCTTTCAGCACTTTAAATATATCACCCCATTCTCTACTGGCTTGTAAGGTTTAAGCTGAGAAATGTGCTGTTGTCTGATGATGATTCTTTTACAAGTAATTTAATGCTTCTCTTGTTGTTTTCAGAATTCTGTCTTTGACTTTTGATGATTCAAGTATAATGTACCTTGTAGAAAACCCTTTTAAGTTGAATATATTTGCAAATCATTGAACTTTCTGTATCTGACTGTCATATCTCTTAACAAAACTTGGGAAGTTTTCATCTATTATTTCATTAAATAGGTTTTCTGTGCTTTTTCCCATCTCTTCTCTTTTGGGACTCCCAAAATCTATATTTATTCACTTAATAGTGTTCCATGTCTTATATAGGCTCTTTTAATTCTTTTTTATTCCTTTATTTTTGTCTTACTGGATTATTTCAGAAGACCTGTCATGAGGTTCAGAAATTTTTTTTCTGCTTTATCTAGTCTGTTACTAAAGGTCTCAATTTTGCATTTATTTAATTTTTTAATTCTCTACTCCCAAGATTTCTGTTTTGTTCTTTTTTATGATATTTGTCTCTTGATTGAATTTCCCCTTCAGATCACAAATTGTTTTCCTAACTTTATTAAATTATCTATTCAAAGAAATGGATAGTTCTCTATCTTGGTTTTCTTGCAGAACTGAGTTAAGATCATTATTTTGAATTTCTTTTCAAGCATTTTGTAGATTTTCTTTTCTTTGGGGTTTGTTACTAGAGAATTACTGTGTTCCTTTGGAGGTGGCATGTTTCCTTGCCATTATTATTATTATTTTTTGAGACAGAGTTTCACTAGAGTGCTGTGGTATCACAGCTCATAGCAACCTCAAACTCTTGGGCTTAAGCAAGTCTCTTGCCTCAGCCTACCAAATAGCTGGGACTACAGGCACCTGCCAAAGTGAATGGCTATTTGTTGTTATTGTTGTTGTTGTTGTCATTGTTGTTTATTAGGCCTTGGGCCAGGTTCAAGCCTGCTTGCCCCAGTGTATGTGGCCAGCGCCCTAACCACTGAGTTACAGGTGCCAAGCCTGTCTCTTTGCTTTTGCATGTTTTTTTTAATCCCTATTTTAATATCTGCATAGATGGTGGAATATTCACTTTTTCACATTTTATGGTAGCTTTTGTAGGAAAGACTTTTTCCTGTATATGTTGTCCTACAGTGTCAGTTGCATAGGATACTTTGGCTTTGGTCCTAAGCAGGTACAGTAGTGTAGTCTCCATGGGATTTCTATGGCTTAAATCCATGTCAGCACTGTCTATGAATGCCTCAGGGGCCTAGGCTGTGGTTGTTAATGGAGTCTGTGAAATGCCTTTTCAGGGAATGGGGACGTTGGATAGGCTGATCCCTGGGCCCTTGGGCAGCACATGCAAGTGTGTAGCAGCACTGAAATTAGAGGGCACAAGAGCTGGGGTCCCTAGGTGATGTTCATGGCCATACAGTGGCCCCATCAATGAAAGGGGTAGAGTCTCTGGCAGGTGATGTGGCAGGTCTGAGCGGGTGGCTCTCAGACTTTGGGGAGCACATACATTTCCCCTCTGTCCAAGGGGAAATATCCTTTCAGTACTGGACCACCTTTTTCCTAGTATGTAGGGCATTGTGTAGGCCGGCAACAAGGTCACAGCTGCGCTACAGGTCTAACTGATATCATGATGCTGCAGCCCTTCAGATGGATGTGGTGGGTAAGGTCCCAGAGATGTGGAGATGCAGAGGCCTGGGAAGGATATACTTTGGTAGTGGCTTAACTCTCAAAATGGTGCAATGCTGCAATAGCCTGGGTCCTGGTGAGTGTGGGTGACCCAATGTGAATTCCCTCTCAGAATTATGCAGTCACATTGATTCCAGGTAGCTCCTTATACTGGTTTGGGACCTGTGAGGTCAGTGGACCTCATTTTTAGTTATAATTCCAAGTGTCTGTGGCATGCAAAACTGCTGTAGATCTACCACATGCCTTTTCCAAACAATGGGGGGTTCCTCTAGGTTCCAAGCCAATTCTGGCCAGCTGCTTTGCTTCCCTCACTGCTGCCATCCTAATTTTCTGTGCTTCATAGGGTCTTTGTTGTTTTCCCAATTAATTCCAGTCTTCTCAGACAGTCTATTTGAAATGAAGTTACCTATTTATTGTTTGACTACAGGCAAGTGCTAAGTGCTTCTAGTCAGCCATCTTGGCTGGATAATTTCTAAAGAAAAGAGTTTTATTTAATTCATGGTTTTGCAGGGTGAAAAGTTCAAGGGCATGGCCTTGGCTTCTGGTGAGGGCTTTGTGCTAAATCACAACATGGCAGAAAAGGTAAAGAGGATGGACACGTGCAAACAGGGAAAAACCTGAGGGGTGTCCTAGTTGTTCCCATACTGGCAGAAACTAATTCATTCCCAGAAGAACTAATTCATTCTCAGAAATGTGAGAACTTACTTACTACTGTGAGTGAGAACAGTCTCAAGCCATTCAAGAGGGATCTACCTCCATAACCCAAACCTCTCACATGAGTCCCTGTCTACCAACACCATCATATTTGGGATCAAATTTCAACCTGAGTTTTTGTGGGAACAAACAAACCATAGCAGAAGGCAAGACAGAAAAATAGTGGGGTGGGAAATGAGCCAACTGGTTACTACTTTTGGTCCTTTGGGTGGAGCAGGCACAAAGAAGAACTTCGCACTAGCATAAACATCATTGCTATATACTGCGGACTATATTATTCCCCAGATTTTGCACCTAATTCATTGAAGGCATATTTATTTCTTCTTAAAGGCCTATAGCTACATAATTCTGAAGGTATTGGTGACAAGCTTCCATTTCTCCTCTCCCAAGGTTCAAAAACTGCCCAAGTATTTTCATAGGAGATATTTTCTTGTCTGTCTTGAGAACAGTTTTACAATTCTTCCAGGCTATTTGCCCTCCTGGTAACCTTTCCTGCCTACTTTCTTGGCAGGAAATTTTCTTGCATCCCTACCTAGTAAAAGTAGCTTAATTATCTTCTCCAGACTACCAGTCCGCTTGGCTCATACATTGGTTTATATTGCAATGATCGATCAATCTCTCTTTCTCTCTCTCTTTCTTTTTTGCCAGTCTCTAGAGCATGAGCTCCTTCATGGAATAAAACTATGGTTTTATTTTTCACTTTGAGATCGCATATAGCATAATAGTTTAGTGCATAGAACGCAGCACTTCTGGGTTTAAATCTCACTCTTATAGAATGTGTATCCTTAAGTAGTCTGTTTAATCATTCTGTGCCTAACTTTTCTTCCCTGTAAAAGTGGCAACTTTAAGTAACTCGTCATCACTTCTACCTGTTTAATTAGATAGAAGCCTTTTCATGACTGTCACTGAGTTACAGAAAAGAAAAAAAAATTATTTATTTTGATAAGTTTAAAAGGTAGCCCAGTATCTCTAAAAGGGGCATTGTTTTCAAGTCAAACAAACTCAGATAACTGTGTGAGTGTTTAAAAAAGAGAGAAAGAGACTCGAAGATTTCGATAGGTGACTCCTGGCATTCTTCCCAGTGTCTCTGCAACATCATCACACCTCATGGCTTCTGTGACTCCCATATTCAAGGTCTCCTCTATTCCTCTTACCTATCTGTCACAGTACTGCCTTTCCCAGCAAGCCACTTCTGGCTTTCCGCACTTAGACTCTGTCAGTAACTGATCACCCTTTTATGCAGTTGTGTTTAGATATCTGATTCCACGACTGTGACTTGAGCAGGGGCTATGTCTGTTTTTTCTCTGTGCTCTGAATTCAGGAACGATTGACACCTTCAGGTTAATCCTATCAATAATTTAGGAATCAACTAGACGTTTTCCATCTCCATAAGTTACTCCTTGCCTTTATACCTCCGCCTCACCTGGAAGGTTTAGAAATGAGGACCCTCAGACCCCACCCCAAGTACACGCAAAACCCCTACCACAAGGCCTTAATTCCGCTCCACTTCAGCTCCTGGTCACGCCCCCTCCTCAGACCACGCCCCCCTCAGCTCTGAGCCGCAAGTACGCATGTTCTAGCTTAACTGCCGTAGCGCGATGACGTAGGCGACCTTGGCGTGGTGACGTAAGGGACGTGGCTGCGCGCATTGGGGCTCGGAGTCTTAAGTGCAAGTTTAGAATTATCGCGGGGTGGCGAGGTCCCGGGGCTGCTTGTAAAGCGTGGTTTCTTTCTGGCGTTTGCCGAGTGTGCAGTCCACCTGCTGGGAAGAGGGAAGCAGGGAGAGGATTTTTTTGTAGGGAGGACCTCTGGGAGCCCTGAAGGAGAAAGAGCAACCGTGGGGGAGGGGGTGGCTGCGGAGCGCCTGAAGGCTGGGCTGCGAACTAGAAGAACGGCTGAGAAGGGGGAGCGCCTGCAGGCAGGGTCCGAACGCTGACGTCAGGGCTGGTCCTGCGGAGGGCCTGGGGCAGCCGCGCGATGATCGGGGCCCGGTGCCTGCTCCGAGCCCTGCGCTTCTGCTCCTCCGTTCCCTGCCCCAGGCACAAACCTTCAGCCAAACTGAGCGTGCGAGACGCTCTCGGGGCCCAGAATCCGAGTGGGGAGCGCGTTAAGGTCCAGGTTGGTGTATGGAAAGGGGGCGGAGTTTTTCTCTTAGGGACTTAGATGGCTCATCCAAATGTAGTTTTCTTTGTACGGTCTGGTCCAGAACCAGTAGCAGGGAAAAGTTAGCAAATGTAGGCATCGCACCACTTTCCTCCTCTTCTTGGATACCATTCATTCACACAACTGTTCCGATGATTATGAACAAGCCCCCTTTCTCTATTTTTATCCCTTGTAAAGAATATCCACAGTTATTAAGTGGTTGTCTTGAGCTAGCTCCTTGAGAAGAGAAACCTTGTGTTACCTGTCTTAGTATTCACACATGGTTGAGGGTCAATACTTAACTAAACCGTGCCTTTTATTCAACCTCTGGGCGCCTCAGTTTCTAAATTGGGGCTTTGAATGTAATTTATGTTTAAGGAATGAGGAGAAAGTGGAATGTGGCAGTTTGAAAGACCTCTGAAATGAAGTCCTAGATTTAAATCTCTACCATTTAGTAGCTCATTAAATGGTCATGTCATGGATGTGCTTTAAACCTCAGTTTCCTCTTATGAAAGTAGAGGTAATAGTTACTACCTCATGGAGTTCTGATAATTAAATTGCATCATGGGTGTGAGATAACTTAGAACAGTGGTCCACCTTCTATAAATGTTAGCTGCATTTCTCTTGTTTATAATACAGAGGGTGCCAACAGATGTATACACATTTTAAGAAAGGAAAAAATGGTATTAAATTTGCAGTACTCAATATATACTGATAACAGATGAATACAAGTCATGTTGAGTACTTGTAATTGCAGAAGTCAACGGTGACTTTGAGTATTACAAATTTAATACTGTCTTTTACTTTCTTAAAATGTATATACATGTTTTTGGCACCCTCTGTATTTGCTCCAGCTCCATATTGAAGATTCCCCTTCAAGGAGCAGGCTAAGCAAGGTGGTTTGATTGTTCCTCATTAGGTTGCCAAAACACACAGATGGTTATTTTTGTTGCCCTCACACATTCTTGCTTTTTAGGAGTAAGACCACTCTGCCTCTCTTTGCATTTCTTTGGGATACACACACACACACACGTTTTTAAAGACAGGCTCTGGTTCTGTTGCCCAGGCTGGAGTTCAGTGGTGCAATCATAGCTCACTGCAATCTTTCACTTGCAGCATGATGGGATCATCTTGCCTCAGCCTCCCAAATAACTAGGACTAAGATGCATGCCACCATGCCCAGCTATTTTTATTGTTGTTGTTATGTTTTTGTAGAGAGAAGGTCTCACTGTTTTGCCCAGGCTGATTTTGAACTCTGGCCTCAAACAATGCTCCTGCCTCCATCTCCTAAAGTGCCGGGATTACAGGTGTGAACCCCTGTGCCCCACCATGGTTTCATATCCTATCATCCGTATCAGAACCTTTTGTTGTATGGTCCCATTAATTGGGCATACATTATTAAAACCTTGTGTGTGCTAGTTAAGAGAATTCAAAGATGAAAACAGAACCTGCTGCCCAGGCTAGAGGCTTCCACCTTAGCCCTTTGGTAGCTCCCAGCCAGTTGTGACACAGAGCACTTGAAATTTGATCCAAATCCAGATGTGCTATTAGTGTAAACTGGAACATCAGTTTTCCAGAACAAAAAAGAATGGGAAGTAATCTTACTAATATGTTGAGAATATTTCGGGGCATATTGCATTAACTAAAATATTAATTTCACTTGTTTTTAGTGTCAGTGTGGCTACAATTTTTTTAAATTATATATATGGCTCACATTATATTTCTGTTGGACAGCCCTGGTTTAATGGTTAAAACAAATAATTATAGCAATGTGACAGTTAGTAGTATATATCAGTTAAGAGCTATGAGAAAACAGGAAATTCCTTAATTGTGTGAAGAGGTCAAGGAAGATTTCTTGCATTAGGTGACATTTCAGTTGTGTCCTGAAGTTTGTGTTCCCCTTCAGAAGCAGAGGAACTGGGGATGGATGGAGGTAGCATCATGGAAAGGCCTGTTAAGAGCAAGAACTTTGAAGTAAGAACTGCATTTGAATCCCAACTTCACTGCTTGGTAACTGTGAACCTGGACTACATAGAGAGGTTATCCTAATGTCTTCTAAGTATGTTTCTTCATCCCTAAAATGATAACCTCTTCATTAAGTTCTTGTGAGCATTAAGAGACATACTATTTATAAAGAACTTAAAAGCACATTCTGGGAGGCCAAGGCGGGTGGATTGCTAGAGCTCACGAGTTCAAGACCAGCCTGAGCAAGAGTGAGACACCATCTCTTAAAAACAAAAACAAAAACAAAAAACATAGCTAGGTGTTGTGGCAGGCATCTGTAGTCCTAGCTTGGGGGACTGAGACTTGAGCCCAAGAGTTTGAGGTTTCTGTGAGCTATGATGCTATGGCACTCTACCCAGGGTGACAAAGTAAAACTCTGTCTCAAAAAGAAAAACAAAACAGAACTTAAAAGCACATTAAAAAAATGTTTAGTAAATGTTAACTTTTACTAACAAGTCAAAGTAAGAAAGCGGTGCTTTGGAAATTACTATTAATGGGGCATGACCAAACAGCAGGTGCTTTCCAGGCAGCGTGATGAGATGTAATTAGAAAGATGGACATTCGGCACATCATGTACTAGAGGCTGAGGCCATTATTCCAATGTAACAGGCCAATATTCCAATATTCCAGGTAGCCATGGGAAAAGGTCAGAAGTTTTTTAGTCAAATAGACTTGGGTTCAAATTCAAGCTCCAGTCTTTACCAGAAGTGGGACCCTTCAGCAAGTTACATAACTTTTCTAAGCCTCAGTTTCCTCATTTGTAATACAGGGATAATGATAATCCTTAGAGCTGCCGTAAGGCGATGAAACAGTTTATGAAGGTGGTAAAATAGATACACAGATGTTCAATACATGGTAAATCTTTCACTGAAAAACATTTATGGATTACTATGTTAAGGTTACTATTTAAGATTATATACTGTGCCTGGCAATATGCTTGAAAGTAACTAAAGCGAGGTTCTTACACTCAGCATATTATGGGTCTGCAAATAAGTGATAGAAGGGTTTTTAATAGTGTGTATAGGGTATAGTGGGACACAAGGAAAGTAAGGGTCAATTCGTTGTTTCTAAGTAGGATCATCTCTTGCTTTTTCCTAAGTGTGTTTAATGGTGAATGCCCGTCTGCTCATTTACTTTATACTTATGGGACATTTTGCTGTTATTTAGTGTCTGGAGGAAAAACATTATTTTGTCTTAACTAAAGTGCTAGTACAATTTAAGTTAGGTATGTCTGAGAGAGATGCTTTTAGTGTTACTGTGTCTACTTGAAGCCCTCTCATTTGTACTTGCATGCCCCTAACCTTTAGAATGTCTTTGAAAGTTTGTGTGTCACTTAATACGGGTTCATAATAAGAAAATTTTTTGCTAGCTTTTCTGCTATGCTACTTTGTAAAAGGAAAAAAAAAATCCCATAAAGATAGTTCCAGTCTTTAAGTACATAATCTCTCTTCTGGGAATTTGATATAAAAAGGAGAATGGCACCAAAGTACATGCCCATTTATTTATAATTGGGGCACAGGAGTGGGAGACGGGGGGAAAGACCTGGAAATTCTGGTATTGGGAAGATTTGCTGTGTTTGTTGGGTGAGTTAGGCTCATCAGCTTGATGGAATATTAGGCATCCTTTCAAAATAGTGAGTTTTAATAAGAAAACAATAAAAGATGGAAAACCAAAGTGTATATCTCACAGTGATAAGAATCACATTAAATTATTATGCATATGGGTAAAAGTTAACTTTCTGAGGCAGGATTGTGGGTCTATTTTTTTCTTCTTTCTGTCTTTTCCATATATGTAATGAATATATAAAATGTTTATATGCTTTAAGCTCTTTAGCTCTATTTCTCTTCCTTAGGGATGGATTCGTTCAGTCCGATCCCAGAAGGAAGTCTTGTTCCTGCATGTAAATGATGGGTCCTCTTTGGAAAGCCTTCAGGTTGTTGCAGATTCAAGCTTTGACAGTGGGTGAGTATTATTTTGGTTTTTTTTTTTTTCAGTCTTTGATTTTTTTCTTCATCTGCACTGCCTCCTATTTCCCTAATCCATTATTTGTATTGCCCCTGAGTGCTCTTCTTAAACAGATAGGCTTTCATACCTTTGTGGATCAAGTCCACATATTTGGAATCAAGATGCTTCAGGCTAAGACCTTTCCTCCATTATCTGTTAATAATTTCTTCAAAACAATACCCCTCATCTGTGCTTTGCTTTAAACTCTTATTTTCTTTATAGTTTTATTTTATTTTATTTTTTGAGACGTCTCACTTTGTGGCCCTGAGTAGAGTGCCATGGCATAGCTCACAGTAACCTCAAACTCTTGGGCTCGAGTGATTCTCTTTCCTTCTTAGCTTCCCAAGTAGCTGAGATTATAGACGCCTGCAACAATGCCTGGCTATTTATTTTGTTTTGCTTTTGTTCAGGCTGGTGTTGAACCTGTAAGCTCAGGGGAATCTGCCCACCTTGGCCTCCAAAGTGCTAGGATTATAGGCGTGAGCCACTGTGTCTGGCCTTTTTTTGTTTGTTTGTTTTTGTTTTTTGAGACAGAGTCTCACTTTGTCACCCTCTGTAGACTGCTGTGGTGTCAGAGTTCACAGCAACTTCAAACTCTTGGGCTTAAGGAATTCTCTTACCTCCGCCTCCCAAGTAGCTGGGACTATAGGCACCCGCCCCAGTGCCCAGCTATTTTTAGAGATGAGGTCTTGCTCTGGCTCAGGCTGGTCTCAGACTAATGAGCTCAGGCAATCCACCTGCATCAGCCTCCCAAGTGCTAGGAGCACCCACGCCCGGCCCTGCTTTAAACCAGCATTTCTCAACCTGTGGGTCAAGACTTCTTTGTAACAATGAAAGTACATTGCTGCATTAGGAAGGTTGAGAACCATTGCTGTAAATTGTTCTGGTCTTTCTTATCTTTTAGCATTTGTACATGCTTCTGCTCTCCACCCAATATAGCCTCTTTTTCACTGATCTTTCTTAGTTCAATTTAGGCATCATCCCTGCTCCCATGCCTGGCCATGTCCGATACTCCTTCCCTCTGCTCCCTTGGCATCCCTTGCCCACTACTGGTTAGAATGTAACACGTTGGATGGTAATCAGTTCTATTCTAATGTGCCTTCTCCCGCTAGACTCTTAGTTTCTTGGAGTTAGGGAGAGTGTCTCGTTGGCTTTTATATTCTTGGCCTGTAGCACAGTGCTGACAAGGTGACCAGTTGTTACTTGTTGAATAAATGGAGGAAACTTGAATAATTTATGATCTCATTCATCAGGTTTTAAAACCTAACACCATTTTAATGTTAGGTAATGAACTCTGAGGAGAGCATTATTCTAATTTGTTAGAATGAATGCTTAGCTGTTTCAAGGATCGTTAGGATTAGTTCTCTTCAACACATTGGATAGGTTCATGGGTCTCAGACTATTTGGTTGATGGGCAGAACAAAATAAAATTGTTATGATGTAATAGTAACCTTTTTAAAGGTTTGCATTTTTTTCTGATTATATGTGTATATATCAGTGTAATTTTTTTAAAGTTTTTTTTAAAAATAATATATTGCAGAAATAATACAGAGAATTCCTGTGTACTTTCCACTCACCTTCCCAGATGATTGCATCTTACATAACCATAGTTTTTTTTTTTTTTAATCAAAACCAGGGAACTGGCATTGATATAGTACTGTTAACAAAACTACGAACCTTATTTTGATTTCACTACAATGATCTGCAATCTTTAAAAAAAGGTTTTGGCTAACTTTTTAATAAGGAAAATTATATAACCTGTTAATTCCAAATACTTATATTCAGATCTTTAGCTCTATTTGTTCCCATTTTAAAGCTTATGAAATTCATTTTTATTATTTTGGTATATAGTAGAGTATCTGTAGATTCTGAAGACTAACCCACTTAACGGTAAAAACTTAGGTCATTAAGTATTGTAATATTCTCATAGCAAGGTTTATATTAATGAAAGTTACATATCGATATCTTGTTTATGTTGTTTTTGTGTTACTCTAGAGAACTGGCTTTTGGGAGTTCTGTGGAAGTGCAAGGGCAGCTGGTAAAAAGTCCATCCAAAAGGCAAAATGTAGAACTGAAAGCAGAAAAAATCGAAGTTATTGGATATTGTGATGCCAAGGTATGCTTTATAATAATTTTGTGGAGGCTATTTAGGCTTATCTTAAAATATTAGCAATCTGTTTTAAGGGTGATTATTGAAAAGATGACACTTAGAGCATGTTTCACTTACAACTTCCTAGGTCATAGAGCCTTTAAAGATAGTAGCAGAAATTACTTAGGTAGGTAGCTTAGACTTTGGTGTGAGAGCTAAGTGTTAATCTAAACATCTCTGGTGCCTGTCATATTTGAAACTCACTGCTTTTACATACCTGGCCAGTCAGCCACAATGACATACCTGGGCAGGCCATTTCAGCTTCACGTTCGTAAGAAAGCTAGTAACTTCTCCATGATCTGGAACTGATCTTCTGATAATGGTGGGCAGTAGCCACCTGTGGCTGTTTGAAATTAATCAACTAAAATTAAATTAAAAAACCAATTCTCTGAGGTTTATCTTACAGGGGTACAAGTGAATCTTTCTAAGAGTAGAATGTGAACGTTTTAAAACAATAACTGAGAAAATGACATGAAGGCTGTGTTGACCAGTTTGATGGAAGTATTTCGGATTGCATGTGAAAACCGCACACTGTACCCCAGAAGTGCATTAATGTACACAGTTACCATTCAATTAAAAAAAAACAAAACAATTCTGGCCAGGTGTGGTGGCTCACATCTGTTATCCCAGACCTTTGGGAGGCCAAGGTGGATGGATCACATAAGCCCAGGAGTTTGAGGCTGCAGTGAACTGTGATCATGCCACTGCACTCTAGCCTGGGTGATAGAGTAAGACCTTGTCTCCAAAAAATTAAAATATAGTTTCTTAGTGGCATTAGCGATATTTCAGGTTCTTAGAAGTAGCATGCAGCTATCGATTACCATATCATGTCACAGAACATTTCCATTTATCATGGAAAGTCTTATTGAATGGTGCTGATTTAGGGTATTATAGCTGAGGCTGAAGAGAGACAAATTCTATATTAAGACATATTTATTCCTGTTTTTGCAAGACTCATCTGTTAGTAGCTTTATAAGTTTGATAAAGAAGGTAGAGGTAATAAAATCAAAGATTATCAGTCTAGTTATTTAAATTTACAGTGGTGGAGAAAATGAGGCCCAACTGGGTTAAATAACTTGCCAAAGGTTATAGGCTTTTTTGTGGCATAGCTGAAATTTCTATTCTAGTAGTTTGACTCCTGTGTTTTTGAGGAGATATAGGAAAATTGTATCATTTTAATTTATTTTTAGTTCTTTTGGAATAATAGAAGTTAAATGTAAGGAAATAAAGGAGGAAAATGGGAAAATTTTCTTTTAAAAAGTCATTCTGAGTAATTTTCTAGGAAATTCTAGGTGACAGATAAAATCGGGGATCAAGTTCTAATATTTCTGAAAAACAGACTGCAGAATCAATTGGAAATCAAGAGAGAAATGGAGAATGTAACTTTTTTATCTTTGCTTTTATAAAGACATCTATGAGTATTAAAAATTTGCCATGTGATTCACTCCAGCAGCTCCCCCTTATCTGCAGTTCACTTTCTGTGGTTTCAGTTACTCATGGTGAACTGTAGTCTGAAAAAACTGAATGGAAAATAAAAGGAATAATTCATAAGTTTTAAATTGTACACTGTTTTAAGAAGTATCATGAAATCTTGAGTTATCCTATACTGCCCAGCCTATGACTCATCCTTTGGTCCAGCTTACCCATACTTTATATATTACCTGTATCTATCTTTTTAATCTTGTACTTTAATGTGAGTCTGACAGGGTATTTCAAGCTAGGGCCATAATTTCCTTTAAAATTTTTTATAGGGCGGCTCCTGTAGCTCAGTAGGTAGGGCACTGGCCACATACACCAAGGCTGGCAGGTTCGAACCCAGCCTGGGCCAGCTAAAACAACAATGACAACTCCAACAAAAAAAAATAGCCAGGTGTTGTGGTGAACTCCTGTAGTCCCAGCTATGTGGGAGGCTGGAGTGAGAGAATCCTTTAAGCCCAAGAATTTGAGATTGCTGTGAGCTGTGATGCCACGGCCGTCTACTGAGGGTGCCATAGTGAGACTCTTGTTTCAAAGAATAATAATAAAAATAAAGTAACTTTTTTTTATGACTCTTCACTACTCTGCTAGATTGGAGAAAGCCAGTTGACTCTCTCTCATGTTCTTAGGCACCAGCCATATATTGATAAATGGTAATAAATTGCACCAATTCATTAGAAATGATTGTGGACTTTCAAGACATGTAGCTAATTTTACCATGGTGTTTTACCTAACACCAGCTGTGTGTAGACAATGGTAGAAAACATAATTTTTAATATCTACAATATTCTGTACTCCTATGTGCCAAACAGGATATTACGTATAATTAAACTCTATTTGAAAGAAGTGATTGACAGATAATAGATATGAACTTGGTAAACTTAGCTAATAAGTAGTAGAACTGGATTCAAACCTACATTTCTGATTCCACCCCACTCTTCCACTTACCTGGTAGAAATATTGTAGACTATAATCAGTTATATTAGGAAGCAAAGAAGGGAAGTATCTTAGTTTTGTTTAAAGCACTATTTAGAAATGCTTTCGGAACTGATTTTATGAAACTCTGTCTTTTTTAGTTTCTAATTTGTTTCTTTCACTGATTGGCAGGCTTTCCCTATCAAATATAAAGAGAGGCACCCTCTGGAGCACATGAGACAATATCCTCACCTTAGGTGTAGGACTAATGTTCTGGGTTCTATACTGCGGGTTCGAAGTGAAGCTACAGCTGCTATTCATTCTTTCTTTAAGGTAAGATCGTCAAAGTTCCCCAGTGATCTTGATTATCTCTCCTTTCTCTCCTCGTGTCCCTTTGCAAACACGATCTGCTTCCTGTCACTATGAATTAGGTTGCATTTTCTAGAGTTTTATATAAATGAAGTAATGCATACTGTTTTTTTTTTTTTGATCTGACTTCTTTCACTCGGCATAATTATTTTGAGATTTATTCATGTCATTACATGGATCAGTGGTTTGCTTTTTCTAGCTGCTAAGTTTGATGTTAGTTATAGATTTTCAAAGATGCCCTTTAGTTGGTTGAGGAAATTCTCTCCTATGCTAAGAGTTTTATTAGGAGTGACTATTGGGTTTTGTCAAATATTTTTTCTGTGTCTTTTGAAATGAAAACTTTAATTTCATTCTTAAATATGAGGTGGAATTCACTAGTAAATCCATCTGAGTGTACGCTTAAAAATTTGTGGAGGTTAACTACAATTTCAGTTTTTCTCAATAAAGCTACAACTCTATAGGTTATCTGTTTTTTCTTGAGTGAACTTTGAAGACAGACTACCAAGGAATTGACCCATTTTGTTTATTTAAGTTAAATTTGTTGTCATAAAGTTTTTCATAATATCCCCTTATCATTTTAATATCTGTAGGATCTGTAGTGATGTTCATCTCATTCCCAATACTGATGTTTGTTGTCTCTTTTTTCTGATCAGAATGGTTAAAGGTATATGCATTTTATTAATCTTTTTATCTCTGTTAATGTTCTTTGCTTTCACATCTGTTTTGTCTGATATTATTATAGCCATTACAGCTTTCTTTTGATTAGTGTCATTAACATGTTGTATCTTATCTCGTCCATTTTCTTTGAAACTACAGTTGACTCTTGAACAACATGGAGTTAGGGAGGCTGACTCTTTATGCAGTCAAAGATCTGAGTGTACCTTTTGCCTCCCCCGAAACTTAACAAAACTATTATTGATTGGAAGCCTCACTGATAACATAAATAGTCAATTAACACATATTTTGGTTTTTGTTTTGTTTTTATCTTTTTAGAAATAGTGTCTTGCTGTTTTGCCTAGGTTGAAGTGCAGTAGTGCAATTATAGCTTGCTGCAATGTTGAACTCCTGGACACAGTGTTGAACTCCTGGACACATTAGAAATAATATCTTGCTATTTTGCATAGGTTGAAGTGCAGTAGTACAATTATAGCTTGCTGCAATGTTGAACTCTCAGCCTCCTGAGTAGCTGTGACTACAGGAGCATGCCACCATACCCAGCTAATTTAAAAACATTTCTTTATAGACAGGGTCTTGCTATGTTGCCCAGGCTGACCTCCCAACTCTTGGCCTTAAATGATCCTCCATCTCAACACTTTTTGTGTTTCTCGAAAAGGGTAATCTTTCTTTCCTGCTAGCATAGGTGTGGTGATGGCTTCATCACTTTCCTTTTCTTTTTTCACAGTGGTCCTTACACTGGATTCATTTATCTTGTGGCTATGGTGCATATCAGGCAATTCACCTTTTTCTTATACTTCTCTGTGCTTTGTTGGAACAGTTCCAGCATCACTAGTGGCATTTTGTATGGGTGCCACACTGTTATTTGGAGTTTACTGTATTGCACTGAAATACAACTTAAGAACTGCAAAAGATAACTTTTTACTATGATGCATAGTTTACTTGGAGAACCAAGCTGCTCATGCAGAAGTGATGAGCATCACACAGCATTTTAAGTGCATGCTGCCCACACAAGCTCACTGCAGGAACAATAGCTATGAAATTATTACAGTACTATGGTATGTACTACACTTAATTTTATGCAGTTATGATTCAATGTTGCATCTTTACATTTTTTTTAAATTTCTCTCAACTGCAAATGGTGACATGCACGTTAAGTGTTTATATATAGTTTTGATTAACTTCTTAAGATTTGTGCTTTATGGGGGTAAATAATAAATAGGCTACCGTATACATATATTTTATGTGTTCATAACATACCTAATATTTTCTTAATTTTTTTGATATTACTAGGCTGTGTGATTTGCTGCAAGCTTTTTCAAGTTACTGCAAATCTCAAAATAATTTTCTGATTTATTTATTGAAAAAATAAATATCCATGTATAAGTGGACCCAGGCGGTTCAAACCCATGTTGTTCAAGGATCAGTTATATTTGTATTTTTGTATTTTATTTTATTTTATTTATTTATTTATTTTGAGATAGAGCTTCAAACTGTTGCCTTGGGTAGAGTGCCGTGGCATCACAGCTTGCAGCAACCTCCAAATCCTGGGCTTAAGCAATTCTCTTGTCTCTGCCTCCCAAGTAGCTGGGACTACAGGCACCCACCACAACGCCTGGCTATTTTTTGGTTGTAGTTGTCATTGTTGTTTGGCGGGCCTGTGCTGGAGTTGAACCCACCAGCTCTGATGTATGTGGCTGGCACCTTAGCTGCTTGATCTGCAGGCGCTGAGCCAATATTTTTGTATTTTAAAATACATTTTTGTTAGCAACATATAGTTAGATCTTGCTTTTTTTTTTTTTTTTTTGAGACGGAGCCTCAAGCTATCCCCCTGGGTAGAGTGCTATGGCATCACAGCTCACAGCAACCTCCAACTCCTGGGCTCAAGCGAGTCTCTTGCCTCCGCCTCCCAAGTAGCTGGGATTACAGGCACCCGCCACAATGCCCGGCCATTTTTTGGTTGCAGCCATCATTGTTGTTTGGCGGGCCCGGGCTGGGGATTCGAACCCGCCACCTTAGGTGTATGTGGCTGGCACCTTAGCTGCTTGAGCCACAGGAGCCAAGCCAGATCTTGCTTTTTTAATGGCCTTATCCTCTCTTAATCTGGTTGTTTAGATCATTGACATTTACATTATTGACATGGTTTTGCTTGGGTCTGTCATCTGGCTATATGCTTTGTAAGTGCCCTATCCTTTGTTCTCTTTTTCCTTTTTTCTGCCTCCTTTTGCATTAATTCTTTTTTTTTTTTGAGACAGAGTCTCCCTTTGTCATACTTGGTAGAATGCCGTGGGGTCATAGTTAACAGCAACCTCAGACTCCTGAGCTTCCCGATTCTCTTGCCTCAGCTTCCCAAGGGCCCACCACAACACCTGGGTATTTTTAGAGACGAGGTCTTGCTCTGGCTCAGGCTGGTCTCGAACCCAAGTGCTGGGATTACAAGCAGGAGCCACTGTGCCTGCCCCACATTAATTATTACTTACGATTTCTCATTTCCTTTGTTTTCTTATTAACTATAATTCTTTGTTTTGTTATTTTAGTTGTTGCTGTAAATTTTATAGTACATACCTTTAACTTCAATTGATACTTTGAAGTTAAACATACAATTTAATAACTTTACACCTAACATACAATTTAATAACTTTACAATGGATACTTGTTTCTTTTCTTCCCTTCTTCATGCTACTGTTGCTATGCATTTTACTTTTATAAATGTATAAAATGTTTTTATGTTATAAACATGATTTCCATGTTATAAATCCTATAATTCATTGTTAGTATTTTTGTTCAAGTAGTCAATTACCTTTTAAAGAGATTTAAATAAGAAAATAATCTTACACGTATATTTACCTATGTAGTTCTTATTTCTGGGGCTCTTCGTTTCCTCACATACATCCTGGTTTCTATCTGATATAATTTTCTTCTTGCCTGAAGGACTTGCTTTAATAATAATACAGATCTGTTTCTGAGAATGTCTTTATTTCATCTTCATTGTTGAAAGGCATTTTTCCAACCTAGAATGGAAAAGTAGGTTAGCAGGTTTTTTTCTTTAAGTACTTAGAAATTGCCACTCTATTGTCTTGTCATTTACATTACTTCCAATGAGAGATCTTATGTCATCCTTATCTTTGTAATTCTGTATGTAGCATCTCGGGCTGATTTTAAGATTTTCTGAGGCAGAGTTTTGCTCTGTTGCCTGAGCTAGAGTGCCATGGCCTCAGCCTAGCTCACAGCAACCTCAAACTTCTGGGTTCAAACAATCCTGCTTCAGGATCCTAAGTAGCTGAGGGTATAGATGCATACCACCATGCCCAGTTAATTTTCTTATTTTTAGTAGAGGCAGAGTCTCAGTCTTGCACGGGCTGGTCTCAAACTCCTGATCTGAAATGATCCTCCTGCCTGGGCCTTTCAAAGTGCTGAGATTATAGGCATAAACCGCCATGCCCCACCAAGCTTTTCTCTTTATTGCTGATTTTTTAGCTATTACAGTGTGTCTTGGTATAGTTTTCTTTATGATTCTCAATGTTTGAGGTTTGTTGAATTTTGGGGATTTATGAATTTATTATTTTCATCTAGTATTTTTAGCATTATTTCTTCAAAAATTTTTATGTCACCTCTCTCTTTGGAACCCAAATTATCCATATATTAGGCCACTTGATGATATCCCATAGTTTAATGATGTTCTTTCTTAAATTATTTTTTTTCTCTGTATGTTTCTTTTGGATAGTTTGTCTATTGCTGTGTCTTTAAGTTGACTAACCTTTTCTTCTGCAGTGCCTAGTTTGCTGTTAATCTCATTCAGTGTATTTTCAGTCTTGCATGTCATACCTTTCAAGTCTAGATGTTTGATTAGGGTTGGGGGGTTCATGTCTTTTGTATCTACTTTCTGAACATGGAATGTAGTTTTAATAGCTATTTAAAAACTGTTTTTATGTCTTTTTCTTCTAATTCTAACATGTTTATCAGTTATTGGTCAGTTTGTTTGTTTGTTTTTTGAGATAAACTCTCACCCTGTGCCCTGGATAGAGTGAGTGCTGTGGTGTCACAGCTCACAGCAACCTCAAACTCTTGGTCTTAAGTGATTCTCTTGCCTCAGCCTTCCAAGTAGCTGTGACTACAGGCACCCAGCACAACGCCTGGCTATTTTTTGGTTGCATTTGTCATTGCTGTTTAGCAGGCCTGGGCCAGGCTCAAACCCACCAGCTTTTGCTGCTGGCACCCAACTCAGTGGGCTATGGGCGCCGAGCCAGCATTATTTTTTTTACATGAATGCATTGATCTACCTCATATTC